ACGATTCCAGAGATGTAAAAACCAAACTAGGATAATTTTGGACAATTGGGGATCCCATTAAAACTTTTTAAAAATTAGAAACCAAATAGAATTTAACTTAAAATTTAGGGATTACAAGTGTTATTTACTCAAAAGAAAATGAAAAATTATATGATTTTACCATTATCATTTTTTAAAAAAGAAGATGAAAAAAAAATCTAAATATGGTGAAAAATTTTGTAAATATATAACATATGCTCACAACTCTCCTATTTTCTCTTCTCTTTTTTTTTTTTTTTTATAATTTGGAGTGATTTATTTTTATTAATAAGTGTAAAAAATAGTAATCTTTTTTTATTTTCTTTTCTCTTATTATTCTTTCCCACCAGGCATACCTAAAATTCATTTTCTTTTCACTTTTTAAGCCTCATCGATCTATCCTTCCATTTCTCTACTCCACTAAACACACTCTAAAATTGATAAAAAAAAGGTCATAATCTCAAAAGTTCATCTCACTCTATACGAATTCAAATTCATCTAATCTAAATTTGAATTAATTTGAATAAGAAATAATTCATATTCAAACAACACAAAATGATTTCAATTCAATTGATTTAACTTTAAAATTTATAAATTTAAATTTGACTAATTCAAGTTTGAAATGACTTTATTCTAAAATATTCTGAATTTTGTTGAACCCAAAATGATCCATTTTGAATTGACCTAACCTAAACCCCACTTGATTTTCATTAATTAAAATAAATTAAAAATATTTTTACTTCAATTTTCAATAATTAATCGATGTTGTAACTTAATTGATAATATATTTGGACTTATATAATTTTTTAATTATGTAACTAATTAAACAATTATTGATTGATAAAAGTATTGGGATTTTACAAGCAGAAATCTATTATATAATGAGATCAACATGAAATAAATTACATACACAAAATGTAATATTTAACATAGTTTGGCCCTAATTACCTATATCTATGATGAGAGAAAAAAAATCAACTATAAGCATAGAGATTACCAAGAGCATAAAACACAAAAGACAAACAATAATCCTGATCCTTAGAAAGAATCCTAATTTTCACGTTCTTACATTATGTTTGGATGGATATTAATAAAGAAAAGAAAAAAAAAATGAAAGGAAATGAAAATTTTTTAAAAGAAAGAAAATGGTACATGTACCTTTTGTTTTGATAGTTAAAATTAATAAAGAAAATGAAATGAAAGGAATTTTAATAACCATTGTTTGAATAAATAGTGAAAAGAAAGAAAATAATTCATTATAATATTTTTTTTCAATTATAACATTTTTTTTATAAAATAACATATAATATACAAATATATCTTTATACTACCTAGCTTTTATAAACAAATATTTTTAAACAAAATTGAGCAAGTTTAATACAGTACGATATGTTAGCTAATTATTGATTTACTCTTAATTTTATGTTTAACTCAGTTTTTTAATCTATTCTGATAATAATTTAGTTTGTTTGTTATTAAAACTTGAAAAATCATAAAATATTTAAAAACTATGATATTATAAAAAAGACTCATAAAAGAAAATTATTTTTGTAAGAAGTATCAGTTTTATAATCAAATCTAATGTCAAAATAAAAATATGATATAATGGTCTTTTAATAAAAATATAAAATTTTCAACTTTCCTTTCCTTAACTTTTCTTCAAATTAAGAAATTAAAAAAATAAGGATTACAAGGAAAACTATAAGTTATTAAATTTTCACCCTCTTTTTTTTTTAAATTAAAAATTTATCCTAACAAAAGAAATATTTTTTTTATTTCCATTACTTTCTTTTATTTTCCTTTATTTTCGTTCCCTTCCCATTCAATCCAAACATAATGTTAGTGTCTAACTTATGGAATATCCTTTATCTTATCCAATCTAGTGTTTTCACTAATTTTTTTCATATTCGTATAAACCATCTCTCACATAGAGATCATATAATGATTATAACTCTTTTTTATAATTCTAAAAGTTAAAACTCCTTCTATATTTATAAAGTCTATTACTTCATCATAAAGAATTCTTATTTACTAAAGGTCTATTTGGATGGGTAGAGAAATTGACTCTTGTAAGATTGAAAACAAGAGTGACAGTGAAATTAATTATTGTAGTAATAAAATTGAGTACTATAATGATGAGATTAAAATCAATAATAAGATATGTATTTAAATGTAAATATAGTGGTAGTGATGTGGTGGAGTACAGTGAGAATAAAAAATGACAATTAAAGATATTATATTAAAATTTATATATAATAAAAATTTTAGATTAATTTTATTTACTAATATATCAAATAAATAATTAAATTTTAATAAAATAGAATGTATTATTTTTATTTTTTTGTAATTTTTAGTTATTTATTAATTAATTTATTATAAAATTATAAAAATTTATATTATATTAAATTAATAAACTTATTTAAATTTTTTTAAATAAACAAATGATATTAAAAACACAAAGAGTAAGTAATAGGATATTCCATCCTTACACTATAGTTCTAAGAGTTAAAAAGACAATTAAAAAAAAAAAAAAAAAGAAAGATAGTAAGGACATAAAAGAGAAATGATTACGGTGGGAAGGGGAATATTTCTACCGGAGCCTTCCTCTTCCGACGGAAATTTTTGCTTCAGTGCGAAGCAATAAATGCACTGATATAAGGTTAACAAATGGTAAGTGTGGCGCGAATGGAAGCAGCAAGTAAGGAATTTGCATCGCATTGGTGCTAAAAGCAAATCCAAATGGGGCTCAAAAACTCTTATCCAATAAAAATATTTATCTCTAAATAAATTTAATTATAAAATAATTTTTTAATGTATAAAATTTTATAAAAATTTAAATTATAATTAAAATATGAATTAATGTCTAATAAATTTTTTATATTTACATAAATTTCATCAAAATATTAACCTTCAATAAATTTTCATTATGTCTATACATTATCAAATCAATCTTAATTACACCTACTGATGTTTTATTGTAACAAAACTTTACAATTTATAACAACAAATTCCCTCCCACAAGGATGTGGGATTACTTTAACCTTAACAAAAGTATCTATGTCACGATTTTTAATACCTTTCTATACTTACAATTAGTTTTGCTTTATGTTTTGAGTTATTTATGAATCTCATTATTTATTTATTAAATTTAATTTGTAATAAAATTGATTACTATATAAATTTTTTTATTTTAGGCATCCCATTTATCTATCTTAAAATGTTAATTATTAAAGATTGAAAATCATGATTCATTAATTTGATCATTGAATTGCGTATATATATTAAAAATTTAATCCTAATAGTCAAAATACTCATAATAATTTGTTCAACTATAATTTTTTTTTTTTGATAATATATAAATTATCAAATAATGAATTGCATGCACCAAAAATATAAAAACTAATGGATTTCTTAAACTCCACTAAGACTTCTTTAACCTAAAAACATAATTTTAAATAAACTAAATTGGTTTAATTATTTGACATAATAATTATCAATATATATTATGTTTTACATTAAAATTTATTTATTATATTGAAAAAATAATTTTTTATTTATTTTAAATAAAGATATTGATGGTATTGTATCTTTCACGCGGAATTCACGTGTAAAATAAACTAGTAAAATGGAAAGGAAAATTTATAATTTTGAGTTGACGCTTCGCTATTCCGCTCCGTTGAAGTTTCACGCAAGTTCTCATCACTTTCAGTGTTTTTTTCAATTATGTCGTAATTGACGGTTACTTCAGCAAAGACCAGAAAAGGAAAAACGATGAATTGCTTCGTCCTCTCATCTCCTCTCTTTTCCAAACCAAAGTATTTTAAGATCTTTATTTCCAAAACAGGGTTATTTTAATCTTATTTCTCAGAGCCATGTCAACTGTCCACATGTCACATCATCGTGGTAATTATTTTTATATAAAAATTAATGAAAACCTTGAATTTATCTTATGTTTAATGGAAACTTTCAATCAAATTATGTGGTAAAAAAAATATTTTTTTTAAGAAATAAAATGTAGATCTCTTTAAAAATGTAAGAAATTGACACTTGAGATTTTTTATATAAGATTTAGTTTAGAAGACTATTTGGATGCCATCCCCTTTTTTAAAAAATTAGTTTTTTTTTTCTTTTATATTCTTTCAACTCAATTACAAAAAAATAGTCCTATGTTCATAAAACACTCAGTCCAAACATTATTATAGAAGTTATTTAGTGTATATTTTTCTAGAATTTTTTAGATAGTTTAATTATCATTTATTATCAGAACCCATGCAGCCCACAATTCAAGAAAGATGAAGGCTTGAGTGAGGCCAAAATTGATTTTACTTAAAATTTTCATACAATCGTTCATCTACCAACTTCCAATTACATAGATGATAAAATCCCACTCTGACTCTCATCTATTTTAACTTTATCCAATTTAAAAAAAGGCTTTTGAGAATAAATTAGAACTTACTGTATCAATTTAAAGAAGTATGCTCACTCATTATCACAAATTCAAGAAGCTTATTTATTAAATTTTATTTTAACTTTAAGCTGTTTCTCTGTAAGGATATGCTTTTTATTTAATTGTTATTATATTATTGGTTTGTATCAATTTGAAGAAGTGTGCTCACTCGTTATCACAAATTCAAGTTTTATTTTCTACAAGCTTATTTATCAATTTTATTTTAAGATTTTCCATTGTAAGGATTTGCTCTTGATTTTATTGTTATTATGTTATTGGTTTATTTATATATTTTTTAAGATGCTTATTTATGAAACTAAATGTATTACATATAAGGTAATTACTTTTTTTATTTTTATATGTTTATATCTGTAATAAAAAGTGACTTCATGATGACAAGGCTTAAAATGCCTTGATTGGAAAATAAGATTAAACGAATCTTATTTTGATAATAAAGATTTCAAAATGGCCTTAGTCCAGGATAAACTTGTCGCTCTATTTCCTGGTTAATTCCTTCTGACGCGCTTCATAGAAAGTGTAACACTAAAACACAATTTCCTAGAAAATAGAGTCCAAAAGAAACGTCAGCTGCAACTAAGCTGATTAGACAAAACAAACATGCGAAGAATTGAAGAAAACTACAACCTCACTTCCCTCTTAATATAGTACCAAACCGATACTGGATTATCCCTTCCTGACTCACTCTTGACTCGCCCTGCACTCACCAAGAATAGCACGAATAAAGGATATCAGTTTTCAATTTTCACTTGATTGTGTTGATGATGGGATCGGCAGAGGAGAAGAGAATCGAGGATGAGGTGTCCTATCTGATTTGGCTAGCCGAGCGAGTTCGCTCGGCGGCGGATGAGGCCGAGTCGTTTAAAGTCGACTGCGGGGAGGTTGGGAAGCTAGTGGATCGGCTTTCTGTAAAGCTTCGGACCCTGGTCCGGTTCACCACCTCGGTTCAATCCCTCTACGAACGCCCGATTCGCCGGGTACTTTCCGAGGTTTTGAAAAACCTAGAGCGAGCCCTCACTTTAGTCCGGAAGTGCAAGCGCCAGAGCATCTTGCGCCGGGTCGTGAGAATCACGAGCGCCACCGATTTTCGCAAAGTGTTTAACCTTCTAGACGCTTCCGTCGGCGACATGAAGTGGCTCATGGGAGTTCTCGACACCGAAAACAACGGGACCGCGAGCGGAATCTTCCTTTCCCTCCCTCCAATTGCCAGCAACGACCCGATTATTTCCTGGGTTTGGTCTTACATCGCAAGTGTCCAAATGGGCCAACTAACCGATCGAATTGAAGCCGCTAACAACCTCGCCTCCCTCGCTCAAGACAACGACCGAAACAAAAAAATAACTGTTGAAGAAGGCGGCGTCCCTCCTTTACTAAAACTTCTTAAAGAAAACTCCTGGACGGAAGCGCAAATCGCGGCGGCTAATGCGCTTTTTGTTTTAGCAAACGAGCAGGAAAGAGTCAGGAGTATCGTCGAAGAAATGGGGGTTCCAATTGTGGTTCAAGTGTTGGGAGATTCTCCAATGAAGGTTCAAATTCCGGTAGCGAAATTGGTGGCGAGGATGGCGAAGCATGATCCGGTTGCTCAAGAGGATTTCGCCAGAGAGAATGTGATTAGGCCGTTGGTAACTTTGTTGTCGTTTGAAACATTTGTGGATGATTCTAGGACACCGTTGGGTAAGCAAAGCATTCATTCTATAGTTCAGATAAATAAGGAAATGGAGAAAAATTCTTCGACTTCAAGAAACTATAGCTATAGACCGTCATATTCCAATTTGCATATGGAAGGGAGTAGTAGGGGAGGAAATTATAGGAAAGAAAGGGAAAATGAAAAGCCTGAAGTTAAAATTCAGTTGAAAATTAATGGTGCTGAAGCTTTGTGGATGCTTGCTAAAGGGAGTGTTTTGAATAGTAGGAGGATAACTGAGACAAAAGGACTGCTTTGCTTGGCTAAGTTGGTGGAGAAGGAACAAGGTGAATTACAGTATAATTGTTTGATGACAATAATGGAGATTACAGCTGCTGCTGAATCCAATTCTGATCTTAGACGCGCAGCTTTTAAAACGAATTCACCTGCTGCTAAGGCTGTTATTGATCAGCTTTTGAGGGTGATCAAGGAATTGGATAGTCCTCCATTGCAAATTCCTGCTATTAAATCCATTGGTTCATTGGCAAGGACTTTCCCAGCTAGGGAGACTCGAGTAATAGGTCCTTTGGTGACACAGCTTGGTAATAAGGATCAAGAAGTGGCAGTGGAAGCTGCTATTGCATTGCAAAAGTTTGCATCTCCTGATAATTTCCTCCGTATGGATCATTCAAAGTCGATAATTGAATTCAATGGTGTTCCAACTTTGATGAGATTGCTTAGAGGTGGTGAAAGGACGCAGCTGCATGGAGTGGTACTACTCTGCTACCTTGCTATAAATGCTGGCGATAACGAGGCTTTGGAACAAGCCAGGGTTTTTACTGCCCTCGAGGGGGCAGACCGAACTGTGGTTGCGCAACATCCTGATTTGAAAGAATTGGTGTCCAAGGCCATATATCACCTCAACCTTTATCACACCGGAGTCCATCCTCAGAGGCAATCATTTGCGCTATGATTAGGCACCCAATATTGTTATGCTTTTCAGGTTAATTGGAAGGCAAGCTAATAGTGCATACACATTAAAGATTTGGATCAGTTAGAAAAAAAAGGATAGTTTCATCAAAGTAGACAGGTTTCTGCTTAAGCAATTATACATCGTTCAAAATACCTTGGATGCTTTAATACTTTTTTAGTGGCCAAATTGCTCGTGAATATTTGTCATTTTTGTTTATATTAACTTTGAGTTACTGATTTCTTCCTGTCTTCTCTAGCATTTTGTCTTACATTATTGCCTTCATGGTTCCTTCTGTGGGATTTGATGCACTAGGATTAGGATTAAATGGCTATCAAAATCTGAAGTTCTCCATTTTCCAAGTATCAGAGTTGTTTTGAGATGAGAATACGACACCATTGTTGACTATCACTTTGAGACCATTTAGCGAGTAGAATTCCTTTTTTCCTTCTTGATCTTTTATTTTCTTATCGACTGGCTTTTTACCAGAGTGTCGTGGTGGATGATGTGGATTTTTGCTTCGTCAGTAGGACAGGGCTGTCCTAAACAAGAATTGTTCTGACTTCTGAACCAATTTACCTTAATTGAATGGGGTTTAGAAATGTTTTGATAATCGTTTGTTTCCCTTCTGGAAATTCGCTAAAAATATAATAAGACATCTTTAATCTTATGCTTTTTAACGAGAAGCTGCATTGAGCAAACATTTAGAAGTTCCTTAAACTAAGATAAAATTCAATTAGTGAGATGGCATGGCTAGGCAGAATTCTTAATATTTACCTATCCATCCATCATCATATATTCATACGCTATCTCCTTTGAATTTCCATGGACAATTCATCATCGTTCATCACTGAGAGGATAGTCGTCCATTCCTACAGCCACATTCTGTAAGGAGGGAGCCATTATCGGCTCAGCTGATATTTGATTATAATCAAGCAGAAATATATATCATAAAAAAAAATGTAATTACTAGGAAGTTAAAAGAAGCAAGAGGAAGCAAAAGAATCATCAAATTCATTCATCGCCATTGTTCGAACTTTAACCAATAAATACAATGAAAACAATATCCCTTCATCAATAAGAGATATAAGTCATTAGCACAGCAAACTTTTTTTTTTTTTTTTTTTTGCACTTACACAAACAATATATCCTGATTAGCAATCTCAAACACAAATGTTTTACCATCAATCGTGATTGATCAACATATCGCAGAAATAATTACACATCGAATTGTCAATCCACGTGTGAGAAGAATGCATTAATTGTTTTGAAAAGAAAGGTAGTTTAACTCATAACATGTTTTACTATTGGTATTATTGAAATATACCAAGTATCTGAAACATCTATATACTATAACAGTCACTCTTCAAACATAAGAAGACAAGCAAAAAGAAGACGCAATTACAGGATTATATGAGAAAGTTTAATAAACAGTCATGATATACTCAGCGTGATGAAGGCAAAGCAGGCCAATTGTCAGCAATAAGCAGGGCACGGTCACGAGATGTTGCAGAGAGTTGCTGGAGAATTACATTTTTGACATGAGTTGCAGCCGTTTCACCAGAACGTGTAGCAAGTTCAAGGTACACTACAGCTTTCATCATTTCCCCTTCCTGCCCAAGTATTAACATCAAAATCCACATCAGCTTAGATTGCATAAATACAACAATATTAGCACACGTGCTAGCCCTTTAGAAGGGAACGAATGATCAGACAGACAAAAAAAAAAAGCCAGACTAGCTGAAGAAGCTAGTTTGGATACATATATCTTTCTCTTCACCAACTGCAACATCCTCCCCACCCCCAACAAACAAAAAAAGAGGTTCCGGGTTTTTTCCCTCATTAATATTTCCCCATTTTAATTCAGCATTGAGCAGAAATCTCTTGTTTCTAAAGAATCGCAGGCAAAATCAAAGCCAACCACTTTCTGCTATTAAAAAATAACAAGTTTTCGGCATCAGAACATGCTTCTATTAATGTTTATACTAATAAACAAAGAAATAAGAATGTGACATACGGAAAATAGAGCAAGTCCATGCTCAAATTGAGCTTTGCTATGACCACGATCAGCTGCCCTCTTCATCCATTTCCTTGCTTGTCTACGACTATGTGACAAACCTTCCCCATATGTATAACAAAGCGAAGCATTGTACATTGCACGTACGTACCCACCTTCAGCGGCTTTTAGATACCATCTAGCCTGAGTATCAATTAGCAACAAAGTAAATCCTATCATCCAAATTTTCTCAAACAGAAAACTTCACTTTATGAATACAGTTAAAATGGGAAGGAAATAACTCCTTACAGCTTCGTGAAGATTTCGATCCACCCCAAGACCTTGATGCAGGCAAAGAGCCAGCTGGTATTGAGCTCGAACATGGCCCCCAAGTGAAGCTTGATGCAACCATTTTACAGCTTCCTTATGATTTTGAGGTTGAGCTGCAATTAAACAGAATTTAAACTGTATGACATAAAATGATGGCTTAAATTTGAGAAAAAGTTTTCAAATTTTGACTAAAAAATACCGTGCAAGTATGAAATTCCCAGATTGCACTGGCCAGCAGGGTCGCCAAGGGCAGCGGCTTTCTGATAAAGAGCAATTGCCTCTTCCTTTTGACCCCTTTCCCAGTAAATAAGCCCTGCATCGACCATAGCGAGCGAGCAGCCACGGGCAGCGCCTTTCAAGAAGGAGTCGAGAGCTTTCTCCAAATTGCGTCGAACACCGCCTCGACCGTGCTTGTACCTTTTCCCGTAACGCAGCAGCAACATCGCTTCCCTCAACGGGCGAAGCCCGTCCCTCCATGACCTGCACACCAGCGACGTTGCTAGAAGATTGGGGAAATTAAACGATGCCGCGATTTTCGTTAATATGTCGAAAGGGAGAGCCGAGAAATCAGGACCGTCCATTGGGGATGACGCCAGTTTTGAACTGAATATGGAACGCCGGGATAATTTCGTCTTTCCTCCGCTATCGTTCGGTTTCGACAACGGAAAAGCAGTGAATCCAAAGCCGTCGGATCGATCTGGCCATGTATTTTGCTTCATGTTGCCGCTCTACTTTCCTAAGCTAAGAGCGTCGTTTGCGGCAATCTTTTCTCACTCAAAAAAGAGATCTGGAAGCAAATGCCTGTTGACATGACCCCTTTTTAATTAGGAACACAGTGGCTCGACACGTGGCATCTGTTAACCGACGTTTAGATGTTTCCTCTCAACATTCAAGCTAATACTAAAATAAAATTTATATAAATATATAAAAGTAAAAACTTTTAATAAAAATAAAAAAATTTTATATGAATGACTTAAAATATTAATACGAAGATAGTCTTAAAAATCGATATTTGATAAATACATTTTATTTTATTTAATATATTTTTAATTTAAAAATAATTTAAAAAATTAAATTGATTATATTTATATTTTTATTATTAATTTTAAATTATTTTCAATTCAATTCATATTAAAAGTATTAAAATTTAAAAAAAATTTAATTGGATAAATTAAATCAATCAATATATAATTAATAAATTAATAAATACTACAATTACAATTATAAAATAATTGATACTTTAATTAATTATTATATACATTTATATTTAATTAAATATAATATTCAGTAATTGATGTATTTCATATTTAAATATATAAAAAAATATAATTCAAAAAACTAAATTGATTATATTTATATTTTTATTATTAATTTTAAATCATTCTTAATTCAATTCATATTAAAAGTATTAAAATTTTAAAAATTTCTTATTTTGACAAATTAAATCAATCAATATATAATTAATAAATTAATAAATACTAAAATTACAATTAAAAAATAGTTTATTCTCTAATTAATTATTTGATACAGTTATATTAATTAAATATAGTATCCATTTGAGTAATTGATATATTTCATTATTTATTTCATTTGTAAAGATAAAAAGAAAATATATCAAATTAATTTTTCATAATTAAATTAATGAAATAAAATATTTTATCAATTTATATTTGATTGATACATTTATATTTTAGTATATATGATTTTATGGATTTTATTTGATAAAATATTAATGCACGTAGATATTATTTGTTTTTATTTGTAAATTTTTATAATTTTATTATTTGATATTAATACACATTGATTTAATTTGTTTTATTGTCATTATTAAATAAAATAAATTTAATTTGTTTTATCATTCTAAATTATGGGATCTTTAAATGTTAATGGTAGAATAACATATTTCAATATCAATCAACTTACCATTTTTAGACCATTATTCACTCGTAAATTTTATTATTTCAATATTAATTTTTATAATTTAAAATTATCTTATTAATTAACCTACAACACACCTTTTGTATAAGTAGCCTAGGTTAAAGCATAATACATATTTAACTATTTTTCACTAATTTTATATCTTTTGATCACTACTAAACTCTATTTCAATTTTTTCTCTGATTTTCATTTTGCATCATTTCTTAGTCTATTTTGGTTATTCTCCCTTTATATTTCTTTTTTTTTTATTTTTTTGTTGATGATTGATTTAAAAATGATTGGATATATACAAGAAAAATATTTCACTAGTAAAGTCACTATCATGAAAGTTGATAACACTTTCAGGTTGTACTATATGTCATATGGGTGTAACAAGAACCTATATGAAGTTGATGAAAAATTTCAATGCTATTACTGCAATGCTAATGTTCTTAATCCCACTCCAAGGTAATTAGTATTTATATTTTTTATATTTGATATATTAAAAAATTATTATTTCATAACGATAATAAAAGTATTTTAAATTATTATATTATATTTATAATTGTATAATTTTTCATTTTTTATAGGTATAAGTTGAATGTTGAGGCATATGATAATTTTGGAATTGTGATGTTCGTACTATTTAATATAAAAGCTAAGGATTTAATTAATAGATATTGACAATCTTTATGAAATATCTACTAAGGTATTGAGTTAAAAATTATTTTAATATTATTTAATATTTAAATTAATTGAGTGATATATTTATACTTATGATTTAAGAAAATGAAAATTATAAAATTTCAGAGATATTTGAAAATCTCAAAAATAAAATTTGTATTCGAGATGAAAGCAACCAATTATAATATTGAGTCAAACAGTACCAACTTTATAGTGAATAAGGTATATGATTTTGATTTTAAGTTTGAATATAAAAAATTATTGAAAGAGATATGTATAAGCTTATTACAATAATTATATTAGTTATAAAGTTATATAATATAGATTATAACTCAATTGTTGTTAAATTATAAATTACTATTTTATCTATCTTTTCACCTCCATTTGTGAAATCATTGACTCATCAAATAAAATAATACCTATTTTAAAAATTAGCAAAAAATACTGAAGAATCAATTGTTGCATTTTCGCTTCAATAACAATTTATGAAAAACTTTCTCATGAAAAAGGGTTTTTATGCGATATTGATTTAAAAAAAAATTTTTAATTTCTTGAAATCAAAAACATTATTGTTTTTTGTTTAGAGATTATTTGGATTCAAGAAATTATACTTGAGTTTTTTTTTTTAGAATTGATGAAAATTACAGAAGTATATTCAATATGTAATTAATTAATTTTATTTTATTAAAATATATAAATTTAAATAAAAATAATTATATAAGTTATGAATTATTCATAAACTTCATAACTTATATTATCATTTAAAAAAATTTATATTTACACAAAATTTATTGGTATATGAATATATTTTTATGTATCGCAGGTTTAAAACTAGTGCTCCGTTAAGAATAAAGTTGAAAAAAATATATATACTATATACTTTTGAGAATACGTTTTTTTTGGACAATCAATAAAACATACTATAAAATTAGTAGTAAGATTAGAACTTTGCCTTTGCGTTGCAGCTGGGCAATTTTTTTAGTAAATATTTTTAAAGAAAATTTGATGATAAATTATATTTTTTTATCAAAGTATTTTAATATCAATTTAATTAAAATTTGTTAGTAGTCATAGTTTTATTGAAAAATAAAAAATAAAAAAACTTTTAAATTATATAAATGATAATCCTGCTCAAACGATTTTATATAAAAAGTTCAATAAAATATAAAAAAGTTGAATATATAATTATAACTATACATTTTTTTTTTTTGTATTTATTGAACAACTTAAACATTATTTTTTAAGTTTTATTTTTTTGTCAAAATAAACCCTTATTAATTGTGATTTATTTTAGCTATTTCTCCATTATGTCAAAATAAACTTTCTTTTTTTTATCTCTTGCTTTCTTTCAAACGGTAAAACAAAAACAAAAACATTACAATTCAAAAGAAACTATGCAAGATAAATATATATATATATATTTGGAATTGAAAAATAAAACAAACAGAAAAAGCTTCACATGCCAAATAATGGTTGAACCAAGTATTACCCACACAAGTTATGTGTTTTTATTTAATTAATCTAACCATATCAATCTTAAATTTTTTATTTTTTATATGAAAGAAAAACCAACTCGATGTATTAGAAAAAAAACGCAACAACGAACTTAAATTTAAATAAAATCAACTGATTTCTCTCCATTCTCTCTCATCTTTTTCTTTTGGGCTTTGGTTTCGCACTAATTCTTTTTTTCATTTTTCTTTTTCTCTTTTGCTCCTTTCAAGTTTCAATCAAAGCAGAAAATAACCAAAGATACAATTAAAGAATTCCAAAAGCCCAAAATAACTCAATTCATGTCCAATGATATTACCAAAAGTCATCATTAAAAACCAAAAATTCCCTCAGACTCCTTTTTGATCTTAAAAGTAACAATAATAATTATATTAGATTAAAAGAAGGGCTATAAACAAATCGAATATGAATATGAATAAATAAAAATAGATTTATAGTTTGTTCATTTATTATTAGAGATATTTGGATTCGATTCTTATTCGATAAAAATTATTCTATTAATTTGAATTCAATTTATTTAAATAATAAGATATTCATATTCGATTCGTGTTCGGTTTGATTAAGTTCAATAAGCTATTTCATGAATATTAAGTGAATATTCACGAATATATATAGACGAATATGTTCATGAATAATAAATAAATCATAATAAAATAAATTTAAATAAATAAACCTTAAACAAATATAATCGAATATAAACAAATATAAATAAATTTTAAAATAATATTAGGATAAAAACAAAAAAATATAATTTTGTTCGTATTATTATAACGAACAACAAACAAATAATAAACGAATAATAAACAAACAAATTTTAAATAAACTTTAAATGAGTTTGTTTATGAATATAAACTAATCGAACAGGTCTCTGTTTGTTTTTTATTCATTTAATATTCAAATATAAAAATACTATTTAAAATTATTTGTTAAGTTTAATAATTAAATAAAAAATAATAAAAAATGAACATATTTACAAATAATTTATAAAAAACTTTATTTATTTATACCTTTATTAAGAGTTTACTTTTATATATTGGGTGTGGAGGTGAAAACATTAAGCTTTTCAAATAGAATTAAAAAAATTAATACATGTCCCATCATGTATGGATTTATCTAATTTTATGTTAAATTTATATTCTTGTTGATTATTTTTTTACTTGATTTAATTTAATGAATTTTTTATATAAATGTAAATTTTGATTATGATTATAATTTTATATAATTTTATTAAAAATTTACATTTGACCATTTATTAATTAATTTTTTAATATACATAAATGTACTTTATCAACACTTTCAAACCTTTAATCCCATTAGTAAAATTTAAAAACTTCACTCCAATTTAAGAGATAATTTTCCTTAAAAGATGTAACTATAATTTTAAACCTTTTAGTCATGGCTTTTTTCGGGTTGGAAACTCTAATCGTGCTACTTGTAACTAGATATGATAATTTTAAATATGATATAATGATATGATATGAAAAAAATTAAATATGGATTAAATGTAATAATGTTTGATGTTTTAATTGTGTCGATACAATTAAAACACAATACTATTCATATCATATTTTGTATCAAAGATGGATAACAAGCTTAAGATATGATATTATTTATGCTTTAAACATGTTATTGTGTCAACACATATAAAATGACATGTTTATGAAAATTATGTAATTTTAATATAACATAAA